TAACCGCTAGGTAATTAAGGTGTCTCTATAAAAAAAATTATATAGCAGAACAACGTATACTGGCTCAGCTAGTAATATTCTTTAATTAATATCTTTAATCTATACTTATAATAAATCTGTAGAGAGATCAATTCTGTACATAAAATATATTTCATGTGATCGATACTAATGCCAAAAATGCAATCAGTAAAATTTTTGCTTGTTTGTCTGTCTGTCTGTATATTCGTATAGAAACAAAAACTACTCGACGGATTTTAATGAAACTTAGTACAATTATTCTTCGTACTCCTGGGCAGGTTATAGTATACTTTTCATCACGCTACGATCAATAGGAGCAGAGCAGTGAAGGGAAATGTTGGGAAAACGGAAGAAGTTACTTCGCTTTAAGCTTCCGTCGCGTGTGCAGCCTCAATGGCCACTTTTTAAAATGTAAAAATATCAATACGTGCGACGCCGGAATGGGCCGCTAGTCTTTAATAATTAACTTTCTGCTAATATTGTTTAATAAAATCAAAGCAGATGACGCAATTTGATAGTTATGACATTATGGGTTAAATTTAAATTAGTTAAAATTGTTTTAACTTCTAGGATACTTATACACAGTGAAATAAGAAGCGGGCGAGAAAGGAAATTTGTTAAATATAAATGTAAGTAATTTTTACACAAAGGAAAATTCCTTCATTTATTTCACGTAATTTTCCTTAGTATTCTATCCTTCACTTTTAACAAATTAGACAGTATACGATCGTATGGAGCGATAAACATTCAACAGCGGTTAATAATAATAAAAAAAAGAGAGAATATAGAATAACAAATAACATGATAAAGTATTCATCAATCTTTTACTCTCACTCAACATCATCAATGTGGGAGTGTAAATATATGATTGTAAGCATAATATAATCGATAGAATGTTCATGTAGTCACGATAAGTAAATGTAAATTTTTCGAGGTGTGAAAACAAACATTAGTATAATTCAGATTCAGATAAATATTAGACAGTCGTAACAAAACAACATGTCATATTCGAACATTTTTTTGTCTGTACAATAATATTGTAATTTAAAATATAAAAAAAATATTATAAATAATAAAATACTTTCGTTAGAAATTTCGTTAAAATTATCCTTTAAAAATCCTTACAAATATCCGCAGAAATAAAATAATTTTGAAAGAAATAAAGAAATATTTTTATTTAAGTAAACTTAGATTTAAGCATTTTTAAATAGTCATTTTTTAAATTACCGTTTACCGTTACCGTACTATTTTCCTTTTGATATATTAAAAAGTTATAATCTGCGGCTTTGACCGCGTGAATTAGAATAGAAAGTATCTTATGACGCAGCACGTATAGAGAATTAATTTAACTCTTAATATTTTTAATTAATAAAGAGATTACCATATTTTATATTTCTATGGGGAATTATTAACAATGGCGCTGTTAGCTGTCACAGATTGAGTATCGAAATTCTGGATGTAAATGTTTGTATACGCGTGTTTGCTTACACAATGTCAAACGGGAGCGATGTTGGGAGCATGCTTCATTTAAACCACTTGTTTGGATAAGTATTGCCTACAAAATCGAACACAGAACACTGAATATGATATAAACTAGAGAGAAACGTTGTACCAAAAGCTTGGGTACCTTCACCCACTCGTGTTTCTACTGTGAATCAGCAATTTCGGTTTGAAGGGTGAGATATGTCATTATCAGATCGACCTCCACGCGGTTCCACCTTGAACCTACTGTAGTTAATCCTTGTTAAATTCGTCACTGGTCTGCTTTCATCCTCATCTATAAAACATACCACTTCATTTTAACCCAAAAAAAAAAACCCGATCACGCCTATGAAGTCACTAGTAAAATCTAGCTTAATAAAATATTATTAAATTCGCCTGTATTTTTTACTGTAACTTACGCTATATCGTCGTCAATTCTGCAGCAATTTTAATAAGCGTTCAATCATCCTGTAAGTAGAGTCATCTTATCCGCTTTTCTTATTGAACGTTTTCTAATTATGCGTCCATTTCGCATAAAAAACCATTAATATTTTCGATAAGTTTTATTTATATTACAAGTAGCATAATAGCTACAATTTATAACGAATTGTAGTATACATTTTAATTTCTTAATCGCATTATACAATTGCCATCAATTTATATATGAGAAAATATATAATTACGACTATACCACCCAAAGTTACTACCATAAAAATATTGAGCTGAATAAATAAATAAATTTACTTTTATCGAACAATCTGCATAATCTGGACAAGTCTAAAATATGGATGTAAAGCGACTATCTCCAACGTCTGCAGTCGTCAGCTTTTGTTCCTTTTGTAGTCGAGAGGGTCGGGGTGATGTATATCGCAATCTTTTGTCGTATTTCTATAATATATTTCTGTAAATTACGACTTAATTTGAAGTGACGAAAGCACCATGAATACTAAAAAACACAGGAACGCCATACTACTGAAAATGCGAATACAACTCATATAGTTAAATAAAAAAAAAATGCAAAATGAAAACAAAACAAAAACGAAAAAATATAATGAATTTAAATTTAATCTTCTTTAAAATAAAATATGGGGGTTCAAGTATTACGTAACGCAATATGGGGAGGGGGGAAGGTCTTGTAAAACGTTAAGGTGTGTTACAGGGGCGGATGGATGATAAAAATGAAATGATGAAGAGGAATTCGAACAACGTGTTACGTAACATTTTTTATTGAAATAAATAGTAAATTAAAATCTTCTGAGTTGGCAAACCTTTTTGTTTATGTTTAACGGGGTATCCCTCAACTATATTGTACCTCACCTTTATTATGTTTTCGTTGTCAGCAGTTGTTAGTGTTGTGACTCTTAGGTAAAAATAGTCACTTAGATGTTACGTAACGTTTAAGGAGTGGAGGAGAGGGGGATATAGTAAATAGCCATTAACTGCCTTTGACATAAAAGTATAACAGAGCAATAGATTTCCAAAAACCATATTAGTAACACAATTTGTTGAGTTAGACCCGAAAAATGTATGACGATATTAATGTTGACAATAGATCTTAAAATATAAGATTCATACATACTAGTTACGTCTTTTAAATGATTGTATAACACTCATTCAGTGTGTTATTCATATTGTACAGCAAGTTATGATTGGTTAAAGAACAAATAGCACAGAGATCGATGTTTAAATTCTAAATGCAAATCAGAGTATACATGATCTAGACTTACTCATTACATTATTGTAAACGGTATGTCAAGATACGCGATTATGGATAGGTACTAAACTACAATAGTGGTTGAAACACAATGGAATCGATCTATTCATATATGAAATAGTTTATCACAAAGTTGTTTCCATGCAAGACCTGCCATACACGGATAAAGAACGCACGAGTATGTACGTCACACCTCCATTGGGGTAAGCAGAAACAATGGAGGTGCAATAGGTGAGTTCCATCATTGTTATGAAATTAGTCGAACTGACTGTCCTAGTTACAGAAGTCTTGAGCATATGCAGAGGTTCGGAGTAAAGAGATTAATATCAAAACATATAATCGCATTAGCAGAATAGTTTAGAACATTTTAAGAGAAAAAAAGCACTGGTCCTTTTAAAAGAAAAAAAATTGTACTCCATAAATACTCGTAATTAACATGGAATATTAAAATATTGTTACGCCCCGTATTTGGCTTTAGATTCTCTGTCACCTGAATGAAGACTCTAGGGTCCACTGGGACACGATTTTATTGTTCTATTTATTTTTAAATTAAAAATATCATTTGAAGTAATGTAGTATTTTTAATTCGTTACTTACTCGTAATATGCATATATAATTTAATTAATTTATTAAGAAATATTAAAAATATATATACATTTATTAATTCATTATCTGACATCCCTATTTTGATAAAATATTTAGGAATCTATAATAGATACAATATAATCTATATTCAAATAAATTATCTTATTAAAATTCATGAAATCATTTCGAGATAGCGGCACCGAGTATCGATGTAATGAAGATCATTTAAATAGCATTTAAATGGGTCTAATCATGACCATATGTAGGCTTTTACGTGTACTGTATTAGTATACATAACGCAAAATGTAGACAAAATGTAAATCAATGTTAACATGTACATATCTGGAACGAGCGATAACCTCAATTATGCCCTTATGCGAAACCGCAATGCGACAGTAGGAACATGCTTGACATAAGTAAACTGTCATCTAAACGAAAGCTACTTTGAGATGACTGTTTTCGTAAGACTAGATTTGTAGTTAGGCTGTAACGTACATAGATTTCGACAAGAGAAAACAATTAGTAAAATTCCATTCAATTCAATAATAAAATAATATTTAGTTATAGAAATAATTGTAACTTCTCATTGATGAAACGACCAATTTCAATTTTATTTATTTCTCCTATGAACCTTAATCGGATTATTAAGAATATTAAAAAAGAAATAGCTAAATCGGTTCAACCGTTTTTAAGCGATACACTTTCAGACTAATATAATATATAGCATAGCATATAATTTTTATTTTAATCTGATAAAGATTTCTATGTAATAGTGGTAAGATTTTCAATAACAACTCATAAAATTGCAAGCAACTACATTTGAATAGCATTAATTAAAATTGAAAATAATGTTTAAAGTTTCACTGCTGTATATACATACTCTGTTTATGCCACATTTGTATGCAAAATGTGGCACATTTCAGACAAACATTATGAACAAGAATAACCAATGCAAAAAAGGCATTTTTGCAATGGAATCAATTGTTTTCATATTATACAAGCTGACACGGCAAACGTTTTACCTCCTATCGCTACCTATCGGATCCATTTTTTCCTATTGAGATAAAAACTATCTCTCAAGTTGAAGCAAACAAACGAAAATTTTATAAAAGCTGAGCGGTTTCGGAGATTAGTGTAAACGAATAAAGTGACACGGGATTTTTATATATTAAAACTGAAGAAAAGTAAAAAAATCACTAACCATAATGAGGCTCCTTGTCATGTGGTATGTTCCCGTTTGGTTCGAGCCGGTCTAGGCACTCCTCTGAATACCCGTTGTAGGGCAGCTTGCCGCGGCCGCCTCCATTCTGTTGCCGGCCGCGACACTCCCCACTGTCCCCATCGGGCTCGTCTTTTGTTGCTGCAACAAAAATATATACATAAGTACATAAAACAAAAAAATGTTCCACAATTAAACCTTACCCCTGAGAAAATATGGCAAAAAAGAAATCACTAACAAACTGATAAAATCCTTATTATGGAATTAATAAAATAAAAGAACCTTATTGGTTCTTTTATTATTTTCCAGTTATCTATTTTTTATATACACGAAAACAAAATTAATAAACGCCCATTTATGAGTCATGATATACACGATAACTAAGAAAAATAGCGTAAAAGGTCTTTTTTTAGACAATTACGACGTAATTAGCGACGAAAAATATTAAATTTGGCAAATTAAAGGTGATGAATGATGAAAAACTGCTACACGTAAACAACGTTATTATTAGGTATAGAATACTTAAATAGTATGATTAGAATAATGAAAACAACACATATTACAGAAACGTATATTCTACTTGTAATTTCAGTGACATTTAATATGCAAATTAATTAACCAGATACAATCGGCACGCACCATGTAATAGTATTTACTCAGGGAAGACAATGTATATAATAGCAAACGACATACGAAATCGTATTACAAATGCAGACTGGTGACTTTTATGTGAAAAATATGAATTACCTACTACTCCCATTATTTAGCACAACTAAATTTAAAAGTATTGTAATGTTATTGAGAAAGAGATATAGACTGATCGACTGACTAATAGCAACTAGTAAACATCGCCTATAAACATGAATAAATACCATGACATCAGAGGACATCAGAGAATACGCTACGTTGCCTATACCATCCCACACACGTAGCCAGTTCTTAGTACTAAGGCAGTACTTACGTTGTGACTATTAAAAACTGTAACTAAAGCTATTTTATGCTCGAGATTACAGAGAATATCATAAGCCCCACGTACACGGAGAGATTTGTTATTGATCAATCTACAGTAACGATTTATCTTCTATATGTGTCAGTGAGTTTCAGGTGAGAGGGTGTGACGGACATTGACTAATGTCAGACAAATGTCGCCAAGTCAATCTAACGGTAATGCTTTTATATACATAGCTAAGTCGTAAAATGTAACTAAAATGATACCAACATCGACACTGTGATTAAAAATGATAATGGTATAATGTATCACATTGTTACAATACATGTGCTACTGATCAAACTATCTTAAGAACACATCTGATTCGGGGTCTGTCTTCGGAATCTGCGATATGTCGTTCCATTTTTAAAATGAACGACGGATCTTTTCGTTTATCTCTCCGTGTATGGAGTATCTCATGGTCCAGATCAAATAACGCATGCATTGCTGTTTCACAACAAATAATAACACGATGGTAGTTACCTACGGAAGCGAGTCATATAAATTATAAATTACCACTAAGTATGTACAATTCATTACTGTTCAAGTTTCAACGATGCTTTCCAGTGTTATCTTAAATCTATGTATATATCTGCGCACGCAATCTTATAATGGCAGTTCAATATTTATTGTACGGCCAATTTTAAAAATACTCGTACGTGGTGCAAACACGCAATTTCACAGATACCAGAATAATGATACTTCCTGGTTTGATATTGTAAAACAGAGAAAAAGATCCTGGTATGCTTTAAATGCGTCATTTTAAAAATATGGTATCAATATGACCTAAGATAACACTAGAAAACACCTTTGACACATTAACAGAAATGAACAAGGAGAACATCGTCATAACACTGAGGCCTTGAATGAAATCATTGATATCGTGTATGAATTACCATATATTTAATTTGATACATAACTTGATCTAAATATAAGACTACTATGAATCGGTACATCAATGTAGGAACAATAAGCGGGAGAACATTAAGAATTGCAAATTCCAATTATTCCACGATCTGTAGACAATTGGATAATATTTTTGGAAGGATCTGCTAAATAAGTTATAAAACGCGTTATACAAAATTTCCTGTTGCTGGAATTCAATTGTTGGGTCGACAGCGCGTTCCGTTTTGGCAGGTGAATTTATTGAATAACATTAGGACAGACTGCGCCAAACGAGTTTTAAATTATTAATTTGAGCAAATCCACGACTATCTCGTGATTTGATTTTCTTTGATTAACTTAGAAAGTGATTTTCGTTGTGTATTTTATTAATATCAACATTTTACGTGCGCACCAGAGTTGGCTCCGGCGCGTCTTTTTTTTTTCGGGCATAGTAAAACTGCTCTGGTGCATCCGATTAAAAATAACATAGGTATTATTTTCTCGAAGGTTTAATCATTGACTAGTACCTAGAAGGATGAACCAATTTTTTCATTAGATTGTGATGGGCAGTGGCAATCGAGAATAAATCAAGTGGATATCGCGAAGGCCTTTGACGGGTGTGGCATAATTATGCGAGACTGTGCATTTGGGTCGCATTAAGGTCGTAGTCGAAACTTTTGAATGTATTAACTCTGTTTCTTCTGCATATCAATGATATGTTACAGATAAGTAATATTCATTGCTATGCAGACGACAGTACAGGAGATACATTATATACCGGTCATGCAAAGATCTCGCGGGCACATACCGATGAGTGCCGGAATAGACTTGTGTCTGAAATCGAAACTTCACTCCATTTTCGATCTTGAACAAAATCTTGTCCAATTTAACCCCAAAAAGACACAAGTCTGCACCGCAAAAAAGACGCCGTTTGTCGTATCTCCTCACTTTCAGGGCACTTCCCTTGATAAAAAGTCGAGTCTAGGAATTCTGGGCGTTGATATATCTTGCGACGTCCAGTTTTGCGGTCATCTGGAGGAGAAGGCTAAGATAGCTTCCAAAAAGTTAGGAGTGCTCAATAGGGTGAGACGATATTTCATGCCAGAACACCGCCTGAAATTATATAAAGCCCAAGTCAGGCCGCATATGGAATACTGTTCTCACCTGTGGGCAGGAGCGCCACAGTACCAACTCCTTCCGTTAGACCGCATTCAGAGTCGGGCGACTCGAATTATTAGTCAACGCCTTACTGTCCGACTTTCCATAACTGCGCAGAGATGTTGCATCTCTGTGCATCTTCTACCGAATTTATCATGGGGAGTGTTCTGAGGAACAAACTGTACAATCGCCACAAACTAAAGTTTCATCCCAATCATCTGGACGAGTGGCGGTCTTACCGTGCGTTTTTCAAGGCACTTTCTTCCACGCACAACCATTCTTTGGAATAAATTTCCGAACCGATACGACAACATAACCTTGTATATTCCTTTTTAAAAGGCCGGCAGCACACCTGCAATGCCGCTGGTGTTGTGGGTGATCATGGGCGGCGGTAGTCACTTACCAAGGTAAGCCGCATGCTCGTTTGCCCCCTGTGTTGTAAAAAAAAAAAAAAAAATATCAACATTTTAAAGCAGCTTTTTTTTCGAGTAAAGGTACTTAAAAATAACACGGTATTATTTTCTCTTTAATATGACTAGGAGGATAACCAATTTTTCCCTCATTAGATTGTGATTTCCATAAATCAAGTGTAACAATTATTGGAAATATGTATTAAATGTCAAGCCCTGTCCGGTTTTATAATCAAAAAGTCACAATGTTATTCTTTTAGTAACACAGCAGACTTTCTAGCCGATACAGACAAACTGTATCGGCTAGTAAATGTACAACAATTAAGCACAAACACGAAAATATATTTTTTATAAACATTCATTTGTATGTATTTAATTTATCTCCTACCTATATCTATAAAATATATGTATGTACCAGATATTAGACAAAAACAAACAATTGTATTGTGACTTCTTTGATAGAACTTCATTAAACCAATGAAATCTTTTATTTTAGATATGTCATCAGTTTAGAATACTACTTATATAATAATAACTAAATACTAAATACATTAATATACTTTTATTGCAATAGAAATATTTTATGATATTCTAATAAAATATCATAATATATATGTGTTTTACAGATAAAAAATATTTATTTTTATTTTAGAGAACACGTAAGCTAAATATAAAACAACGTGGAATAACTCCAGCGATTTAACTGTCCTCCGTTACAAATGGGTAAATTAAGCGCACATCCGAACAAATTAATACGTTCCCGACCATGTCGCCTATCTCCAAAACGGAAGTATTTGGTGATACGAAAGCATTGTACTGGTACGTCTGCTTTATTGGTACAAACATAGTTATTACAGTGTACATAATATACACAGTAAATAATATTATGTTCTTTATGTTTCAGTCTGACAATATAGTGAATCAATATAAAGTGCTATATGGCTCTTCATTTAGGTCACAATTTGGTGCGAACTAACTTTCGTATGCAATATTTACTTGCAGCTGTTACACTTAGCAGAAAATTTCTAGATATTCAAAGTTAAGAGGAATATTATAAAATGACTATTCTCAAGTTTAGGTTACGCGCATTGAATTGCGCAACAAAATTTATACAACTTTACATAATATTGTTTATTTTTTTCTTATGAGTATTTTTTATTATATTAATTTACAATTGTGTTAACTTTAATATTATGTATTTTTATGTAGAAATCTTATTGTATTTATGCGCAATGATTTGTCCAATATTTGGTAAGAAGTTGGAGTCAATTCAAGGACAATTTAAATAAGTATTTCAAAATAAAATAAAAAAATACAGTTTTAACTTAGAGAATAATTACCAAGTTTTAAACAATAATACTTTTATAGGTTTATTAATGAATGACGACTCCAAATTTTTAAGTCTCAGCGTTTTTTTTTTATAAACCATTTCAGAAATTAGTACATATCTAATAATCAGCAAAGAAAAATTTAAAAACGCTGGTCTTTAAGATAAGAAATCCATCTACACAATTTAAGAGTCAAAATGTATATCAAATCGTTAATAATTTATACAGACAAATGTCAAAGGTCTCCTAATGCAAAATAAAATAACTAAAGATGTCACTAGAGGTAAAACTAATTTAATTAGTAAATCTTTATGAAACATTCTTAGAATACTCCTAGTAGTTAGTAGTAGTAGACTAGTATTATAAAGAAAT